GGCATAGTGATGCCGGTGGTTTGGCTTATTTTACTCCACTTTTCTTTTTTTTTTCTTGGTTTTTGAGACAGGGTTTCTCTGTGTAGCCCCGGCTGTCCTGGAACTCGCTCTGTAGAGCAGGCTGCCTGTGCATCTGTATTGCTGGGATTAAAGACGACATGTGTCACCACACCCAGCTGGTCTCTTTGAGCAGAAGCTGGCTTCAAAAGCACTATGTAGCGGAAGCTTGTCCCCACCTCCCAAGTGGGATCCCAGCTACGCAGCCCACACTGGCTTTCATCCTGTTTTAACCTCAGGGTGTTACCGGCACCAGACTTGACCTCTTACTCACTCCTACGCCGCCCCAGGCTCCCCCTGTCTCAGGACAGGATCCCAAGCCGCGTTCTGAGCCTTGTGCGAGCACTGGTCTTCTTTGTCTCCCTTGTGCCAACTGTGATCCTATCCCACCAGCCCATTTACCAGGGCCCAGAGTTAGAGAATCGGTGCCCCCTCTTTCTTTCTTTGGGTGGTGGGGTTTGAACTCAGGACCGTTCGCATGCAAGGTAAACACTCTATCACTGAACTCCATCCCCAACCCCTCTCTGGGGATCCTAGGCAGGGGCTCTACTGCTGGTCCTTGTCCCCCAGCTTCCTTTTAGAGTCTCCCTGCCTCGGCTGGCTGAGGATCAGTGCCTACATGGCACACATGGCTGTCTGCCACCATGCCTGGCTTCTCCCACTACCTCTGTAGCCAAGAAACCACAAATGAAGCCACCTCTTACGCAGAGCTTCCACACGGCTCTGTGAACCCTGCCTTAGAGCTCCTGTAGACCTGGAAGCTAGTGTTCCCAGCAGCCCAGCTGCAGCCAGCTCAGGGCTGATACCAGGAAGACCTCGTGCTGTTCTGAGAGGACCCGAGGAGCCCCCCTGTGTGGCCACACCTCCTTGTTCCAGCATTGCCAGTCAGTTGCCTGCACCTGACCTGACCCGGGAGGCTCAGCCACCTCACACTACCCTGTGCCAAAGCCTTGGGCAACATGGACCGGTGGGAAGCCCAGAGGTGAGAATGGGGACCGAGGGCCAAGTGACACACGGAGCTATGCATGGGGACCGCTCCGCACAGGTATCAAGGCAGGGAAGAAAGGGCTGGGGCAATCCTGCTTTCTAGAGGCTTTCATGGGCTCGGGCTCGGCTTTCCTGCTTCCATCTCTGAGCTCATAGTCCATAGGAAGGAGCCCCATCCTCCTCTGTTTTTAGTTGCAGACACCAAGGATCACAAAGCACACAAAGAAAGCCCAGAGCCCAACTACAGAGTCAATGACAACAGCTTCCCACCCAGAACCCAGGCACAGCCCGACCAAGCAGTGTGGGGAGCACTATGGCTCACCTTTTTATAGCACCCCCCCCCAGGACACAACTACTTACGGATGTGGGGAGCTACTTACCCCCCCAGCTTGTAGTCGCCGACCCCACCCATCCAGGCTCTGATGAATGTGGGGTCGGCCAGGAGAGAGACAGGGGTCATGGAGTCTCCAGGGAAGTAGGATCCCACAGGACAAAGAATGACGAACAGGAGGGCTTGTGTGACCAGGCCAACACCCAGCGAGGGCTATGGTGTGCACAGGGCAGCATCAGACCAAGGAGTCCACACTCCAGCCTCCTCCTCCCTTAGACTCGGAGCTCTAGGCCCAACCTCCCTCAGAACCCGGGGTCCAGGCTCAGCCTTTCTGTCCCTCTGACACAGATGTGGATGTGCATGGCCCCACGCTAGCAGCTCCCAAAGCAATGCCCACCTCATTCCCAATCAGCACAGGCCGCACATAGAGGCTGGTTCCGTTGCCATCAGGAACCCAGTCCTTGTCCACCTCAATGAGCCGGCGGATGCATTCCAGTAGCTCCTGCTTGTCAAAGTCCTGCGTGGAGCCCATAGGAGTCAGGGGTCCAGATTTCCCCAACCACCCTCGCCCTCTCTCCTTCTAGGGCAGCCTGGTCACTCACTGGCAAACAGAGGCGCCTTGCAGAACGTAGCATTCTGTCCATGTTGAGCCATGGCCGGAAGAGGCGTACCTGCCGGTCCCTGCCTTTGTATGCTTTCAAGCCCTCGAAGAGCTGCAGGACAGACAGGGGAGGAGGAGGTATGCTCAGGGCCGCGTCCCAGCATCAAGACAGCTCGAGACACATAGATACAAACGGAGACAGAAGGGCAGAGTGATGGAGACCAAGACTCGGGGACTTCAGAAAGCACAAGGCCAGGCAGCCATGGAGTTCAAGCCTGTTACCTCAGCTACACAGGGGGCAGAGGCAGGAGCATGCCCAGTTAAGGCCAGCTTGAGAGAAGCCTGACCCACAGGGTGAGATCCTGTCTCAAAATCACCCCACGCAAGAAAAAAAAAAAAGCTCACAATATACAAAGTTTTCCTAAACCGGGTAGTGGTGGCGCACACCTTTAATCCCAGCACTCTGGGAGGCAGAGCCAGGCGGATCTCTGTGAGTTTGAGGCCAGCCTGGTCTACAGAGTGAGTTCCAGGACAAGCTCCAAAGCTACACAGAGAAATTCTGTCTCGGAAGGAAGGAAGGAAGGAAGGAAGGAAGGAAGGAAGGAAGGAAGGAAGGAAGGAAGGAAGGAAGGGAGAAAGGAAGAAAGGAAGAAAGGAAGAAAGAAAAGAGAGAGGGAGGGAGGGAGGGAGGGAGGGAGGGAGGGAGGAAAGGGAGGGAAAGACCCTGCCTCAAACAGGCTGCAGAGCAATTGAGAAAGACACTTGCTGTCAATCTCTGCCTCCACACTCATACAGGGGAAAAAAATCCCTTTGAGAAATTTTGTTGTTGTGGTCTTTTATTTTCCGAGACAGAGTTTGTCTGTGTAGCTCTGGCTGTCCTGGATCTCACTCTGTAGACCAGGCTGGCCTCGAACTCATGAGATCTGCCTGCCTCTGCTCAAGTGCTGGGATTAAAGGCATGTGCCACTACTGCTCGGCCACTTTGAGAACTTTTAAAAGCTCTTTGGCGATTGGAAGATTTCTACAAGTTTGGCGAGGCTTCTTTCTGGAAAACAGGCTTGGGCAGTGAGTGCGGAATCTGGTACAAGTTCTACAGAGAAGAACGCAGTAACACTGTCCAAGGCACAGGTGCCCTTTGCCTCACTAGCTCTAGGCACTGGGCAGAGATACACTTGCATTTAGAGGAAGCAATGTGGGCACCTGGTTGTTATTGCAACATTCCTTAGAACACCTCGGGGCTGAGAAGAACCCAAGTGTCCCACAGTAGGCACTGTCTAATGAGACTACTGTCGGATGGAATATACTTCGGCGACAAAGACGGGCAGACTCCTTAAGGAATGTCACAGGAAATGTTCAATTCCAGCTATAGCCCTGGCTAGCCTCCAAATCACGGCAGTCCTCCTGCCTCGACCCCCTGAATGCTGGAACTCTACTACTTCCCACAGGGCCTGCGGAGGCCTTACTATAGCCAGGCTCCTCCAAAGCCCCTCCTCTCTGTGGCTCTCATGACATCCTAGGCCTCCTTTGCCACTCTGAGACCCCACGGTGTCTGCCAACCTAGCTCTTCTGACTGCATAAGCAGTCAGAAAGAACCCCACTTCCTTTCAGAGCACAGAGTTCCAACAAAGCCAAGATCTGCTCATCTTAGGAACTATCCCCTAGGAACTGAGGCCCCAGAACCCAGGTGACCTCAGGAAAAGAAGACAGACCCACAGAGGAAGACACGTGCAACTCAGTCAGGTGGCAAGCGGAGAGAAGATGGCGCAGGGTGGGCAGCAGGGGCAGCTGGCCCCACCTGCAGAGAGTAGTGCAGGGCGGAGCAGGCTGGGTGCAGCGTGAGGTTCTGGAAGGGCTGGATCCTGGGAGGGCCCCAGCCCGTCCCCCTACTCCATTCCACCATCAGCATGTGGTCTGTGAATGTCTTTCCAAATAGCAGCGGCTGGCTAGGGCTCGGCTTCTTCTGCGGCTCTCTGGTCACCTGAACCTGGAGGTCTGCAGCCTGAAAGGAAACAAAACAAAACAACAACAAAAACATCAACAGAGGGGATTGCAGTCCCCAGCCTGAGAGACCAGAGCTCCCATGGCCCCGCCTCAGGCCCACCGAGGACCAGGAGCCACGAGGCTTCTGAGAAACAACACCTGAGAGCAGAAGCCTAGCCGACCCCAGAGAGAGAGAGATGAGACCCTGCCTCCCTCTGACACAGCGGACAGACCCCAGGCTTCCTCCCCTAGACCCCCTTTTACCTTGAAGTTGGAGGACACACATCTTCTGGGCCCACATAGAAGCCAGGGGACAGGGAGAAGTTTTTGAGCCCAGACCTGGGGTGGGAAGAGAAATAAATGTGACCAAGACAAGAGGCAGGAAGAGCAGGGGCCCTGGCACCCACCTGCCCCCTCTTGTTTGGGAGACTCAAGAGGCTGGCTCTGTCACAGTTCCAGCACATTCTAGACAGACAGACCCTGTGCTCGGCCCAAGTCCCTATCAGGATGACTATCCCTAGAAAGAACAAAGTCAGCTCCCACCCCTCCACCATGCAGGGCAAAGTCGAGAGAGGCGTGCCTCCTACTAGAGAACTTTGGCCGCAGCTTGTTACCAGCTTAGACACGACCAGGGACAGTGAGCAGGTAAGGGGATACTTCTGGTCTGGGGGCCCAAAACCTGAGGAGAGTTAGAAAAGAATAGGTCCTGTCTATCCCTGAGGTGAGCAGCCCAGACCCCGGACCTCCTCCCTCAGAGCCAGGCCTAAAGGCCATGTGCTTCTCCATCAAACCCAGAGCTTCAGACTCCAGCCCTCCTCCTTCAGACCTCCTTCAGTGGTCCTCCTTAATCTTCCTCCCTCAGACCTACAAGTGCTAGATTCCAGCCCTCCTCCCTCAGACATAGGGTCCTAATGCTGACTCTTTGGGAATATCTAAAGAGTTGCTACAACCCCGGGCACCCAGCTGGAACACCGGCACCCCGGGCAGCCAGTGCTGGGCTCTTCACGGTCAACGGCTGAAGGGCACCTTGTGCTTGCCCTTGGCCAGACTCAATGCACAGATCTCTGCTGATCCTCCCCGAGGTTACATGGAATGCAGAACTAGTTATGCACAGGAGGCCCCTTCCTGTTGACCTCTGACTTCATGCTTTTCTCTCTGCAGACCATGGAGAAGCATCGGGTCCTGAGTTTGAGGAAGACAGGAAAATAGCCTGCTCCTGCTGGGAGAGCTGATGGTGGCCAATGAGATGAGGGGGTCCAGCAGAGGTCACAGGTCAGTAGGTGAGTCCTGGGTGCCATGTGGATGAGTCTGGGCCAGAAGCAGACTTTCTTTCTTTCTCTTTCTTCCTTCCTTTCTTTCTTTTGAGGGGAGGGGAGGTTGGGACAGAGTCTCACTAAATTGCCCACCACCCTCAAACTCACTCTGTAGCCCAGGGCTTGAAGTCATGATTTTTTTTCCTCAGACTCTGCACTAGCTGGGATGATAGGAATGTGAGCCACACCTGGCTCAGATAAGCTGTGTGTGTGTGTGTGTGTGTGTGTGTGTGTGTGTGTGTGTGTGCGCGCGCGCGCACACACATATGGAGGACAAACTCAGACGTCATTGCTCAGGTGATATCCATCCTGGTTTTTGTCTGTTTTATGTGCACTGGAGTCTGGTGTGCAGATGTCTGTGTAAGGGAGTCACCATCCAATAGAACTTACGTTGCAGACACTTGTGAGCTGCCATGTGGGTGCTAGGAATTGTTCTCTGGAAGAGCAGCCAATGCCCTTAACCACTGAGACACATTTCCAGCCCCCCTCCCTCCTGGTTTTTGTTTTGAGACAGGGTCTTACTGCATTGTCCTGGTTGTCCTGGAACTCACTCTGTAGACCAGGCTGGCCTTGAACTCAGAGATCCACCTGCCTCTGTCTCCCGAGTGCTGGGATTATATGTGTGTGCTACCCTCACTCCACAGCCCATCCTGATTTTTGAGACAGGCACTATGATTGGGTTCTGGAGCTTACTAACTTGGTTCAGGAACCTCCTGTCTCCACCTCACCAATGATGATGACACATATATATGCTTTTTTGTTTGTTTGTTTGTTTTTGTTTTTGGTTTTTGGTTTTTCGAGACATGGTTTCTCTTTGTAGTTTTGGTGCCTGTCCTGGATCTCGCTCTCTAAACCAGGCTGGTCTCGAACTCACAGAGATCCGCCTGCCTGTACCTCCCGAGTGCTGGGATTAAAGGTGTGTGTCACCACTGCCCAGCCAATGACGATATTTTAACAGTGAGTCACCGCACCTATTTTTTTTTCACTTGGGTTCCAGGGATCAAACTCAGGTTTCCATGCTCATATGGCAAGCACTTTCACAACTGTGCCCATGTCTCCCAGCCCTCAGATATGGTCTTAATGGTGTGGTGACCGAGGGCTTCTGGGGTGATGTGAGGTTGACAACCTCCCCTATGTCTCTGGATGGTGACATGAAGCTTGCCCGACACTACCACCCGAATCAGACACTCATAGGACGGGGAAGACTGTACACTGGGTAGGGGCAGCCTGTATGGAGGCAGGAGCAGAGGGAACAAAAAAAATTGTTTAATAGAGTGAGCCAGAAAAGCTGAACAATGCAGAAAAGAGATATTGAGATGAAGAAATGGAAAAAAAAAATGGAGCTGGGGGTTTATTTAGTTGGTAGAATGCTTGCCTAGGATGCAGGAGTCCCTGGGTTTATTTCTTCCTGGCAGCACACAAGCCTTGCAGTCCCAGCACTTGGGAAGTAGAAAAAGGAGGATCAGGAATCCAAGGCCATCCTTGACCATGTAGCAAGTTTGAGGCCAGCCTAGCTTAGATAAGATCCTGTCTCAATAATAATGAAATGAAGGAGCAGGGTGCCGGGGTACACCCCTTTTATCTCATTACTGAGGAGACAGGGACAGGCAGATCTCTGAGTCAAAGCCAGCATGGTCTACATTTGGAGAACCTGTCTCAAAAAGAAAAGAGCCAGGCAGAGGTGGCGCACACCTTTAATCCCAGCACTCGGGAGGCAGAGGCAGAGGCAGGTGGATCTCTGTGAGTCTGAGGCCAGCCTGGGCTACAGAGTGAGTTCCAGGACAGGCACAAAAAGAAAGAAATGGAGGCCAAGAGATGTCAAAATAGATAGGATTACAGAGAGAGGGCTATTGAGGTGACTTACTGGGTAAGGACATCTGTCCACAAGCCTGAGGACCTGACTTTAGTACCTGGAACCCACTCCTAGCCAATGGAAGGACAGAACTGACTCACTATCCTCTGACCTCCACACAGGCACCATGACACACGTGGGTCCACACACGTGCACATACGGAATAAATAAAAATGTAGCAGGGAACGGGGCAGGTGAGTAACACCAGGAGGAGGGAGAAGCAGAGATCCAGGCAGAGAAATTCTAAACTGGGTTTGACGGCACACACCTCAGTCTCAGAGCTCTGGAGGCTGAGGCAGGAAGAGCACACGTTCTAGAGGCCTCGCGGCACAGAGAAGGCACTATGCCAAGGCCCAGAGATCAGTCTGAACTGGCCACAGAGCCTTGGTGACAGTGATGTGCTCTTAGCTTCTCCTCGGAGCAATCCTAAGGCCGCAGTTTGCTCTGGGTTCAAAGAACAACCTCCCCCCCCCCACTACACTTTGGGAATTAAGTCCAAAGGAGGCACCCAAGTGGCAGGTGGGCTGCAGGAATGAAGTGTAATCGGGAGAGAAGCGGAGTTAAAAAGGTAAAGGCGAGTGTGCAGGGCAGGGCTCTGTTTGACATGGTGGTGTTCCTTCATGTCCCAGGCAGCCCCGAACGCTGAACCTCAACACAGCCCAGATGTCCATCAAAGATCAGGGGTGGTCTTGTCAAAGCTCCATTCTCCACCACAGGTCAGCAAAGTACTAAGACCACTGTACAGTGCTGCCCTGCCCCAGGTAACTGTCCTATACCATGCTCTCATCAGATTCCAGAACTGCTCTTCCCATAGCCCAGGCCGTCCTGATGGTCGGTGATACGTCCATCAGACTTGCAGAAAGTCCAGTGCTCTCTGTATTACAGCCCCTGTCACCTCAGGACCGTTCCCTGCAGAGCCATGTGCTGTCCTAACACAGGGCTGTTTCCTCCCCATTCCAAACACATGTTCTCCCTCTACAGCCTAGGACTGTCCTTGGCAAGTCTGAGGGATGTCTCTTTCAGACCCAAGAACTATTCCAATGTCAATCTAGACTAGTCCCTACAAGATAGTCCTGGCCAATCCCCAGCCAGCAATGTCTCCCTTATAATCCAGGATTTCCCCGTGTGGGCACTTACCACCAGGCACTCATAGCTCTGAGCAGGCTCGTTTTGGAGCGTCTACATTACAGGATAAAACTGTCTTCCTCAGAGCCCAGATCCGTCCCATGAGAATTGGAGACTGGCCCAGCATGGCAAAGTCGTACCCATCCCAAAGCACCACACCATCAGAGCCTAGACTGTTGTCCCTAGCATGTCCCAAGACAGTGTCTGTCTAGAAGATTTCTGTCCATCGTTAAGAACTGGGAAATGTAAAGGTCTGTTCAGGAATTCACAAGCCCGGACTAAGAGTGTCAGATCGTCAGGAATGAGCTAACAACAAACGTTTCCCCAATGGCCCAGCTGTTTGCGCCCTCACTTGTAAATCATGTTCTCTTAAGATCATAGAATCTCCCAAACTCTGCTGCTTGCCACCATCGGTAAGCACCAAAACACTCTTGCCTGGAGGATCTGTGTCGCTCTGACATACAGACGCTTGCTTCGGATTACAAAACCAGGTACGGAGCCTCAAGCAGACACTACACACGTCTTTATGTGTCTTTTGTTCCAAGAAATAAGATCTTGGTCCCAATTCCCAGCCAAGACTCCGTGCCTAGTCATACACCAAGCCCCAGAAGTTCTGGGCCCCTTGTCTAAAGGAACAAGAGCGACTGGCCCTAAAAGCCCGCGGGCTGCATGCCCCAGCCCAAACTTCCTCACATCCCCTCCACCCTGTGCTTCTCCCTCTACAGCCCTCCTCCGTGCTCCCCACTTCCGACCTCCCGGTCCAAGGATCCTCGCATCAGGTACCCCCCGCACCCCACCCGTGTCTCCCCAACTCTGCCGCCCGTTAAAAAGACCGGCACTCCTTTCCACGGGGCCCCGTCCGCCTCTGCGTCCCGCAGCGGAACCCGAGGCACAGAGGAACGAGGCCAAGCCGGAAAGGCTGCACGCCAGTGGTCCATCCGGAAGTGTGCCCCCGTCGGGTTCCCCAGAGGCTGGAGCGCCGGTCCGCCGCGCACCCACCTGCCGCAGTACTGCCGCAGCCATGATCCGCGCTTGGGCCGGTAACTGCGCGCCTGGGGCGCGGCCTGGTGAAAGGCATTCCGGCCCCGCCCTGCCACGCCCCCTCCCGCAGATGGCCGCTCTCTGCGGGCCTCGCTTCTGCCAGGCCTTCCTGAGTTATGGGACCCCAGGGACCCAGGCTCTGCTGCAAAGAACATAATCCTGGAACAGTCCTTGTCATACACTCGCTCCATCTTGCCCCCCCTCCACCCTGTCCTGCCCCCTCCACCCTGTCCTGCCCCGCCCCAGCCACACTCGTGCCCAGCCAGGCGTTTGCCTTGGCTTTTGTTTTCCAGGACTTGGAGACTAAACCCAGCATGGCCTCACGTTTGTTGGAGAAGCTCTCTAACCACTGGAATTACATCTCCAGACCTTTTAAAAAATTTAGATTGCTGGGTGTAGTGGAGCATGTCTTTAATCCCAGCACTTCGGAGGCAGAGGCAGGAGGATTTCTGTGAGTTCAAGGCCATCCTGGTCCACCTAATAAGTTCCAGGCCAGTCAGGGCTATATAGTGAGACCCTGCCTCAAAACAGACAGGGCTTGGAAAGAGGAATCAAAAGTTAAGAACCCTGACTGCTCTTCTAGAGGACTGGGTTTGGTTCCTGGTAGACACACAGTGGCTCCCAACGGTCTGTAACTCCAGTTCCAAGGGACCCATCGACCTCTTCTAAGCTCCGCAGGCACCAGGCATGCACACGGTACACTTACATATGTGCAGGCAGTACACTCATACACGTAAAAATAAAAATAATATTTTCCAGCCAGGTGGTAGTGAACACCTTAAATCCCAGCACTCAGGAGGCAGAGGCAGGCGGATCTCTGTGAGGTTCGAGGCCAGCCTGGTCTACAGAGCGAGATCCAGGACAGCCAGGATTATTTATATAACAGTCTCTATGAGAAACCTTGTCTGGGAAAATGAAAAAAAAATTCTAAAAATAAATAAAACAACAAAAAAGGCATCTTCAGAGGAACTTTGTCAGGGCAAAGTCACCAGAGCAGGGTCAGATGTCACCGGTCTTTTGGTCACCGGTTCTCTGATAAAGAGGACAAGCCCGCTGTCAATGCAGAGAAAAGCCCTTGGAAGCTGGGCCTGGTAGCACCAACCCTCTGAAAGCTGAGGCAGGAGATTTGCTGCAATCGTAAGAGCATCCTAGGTGAGAGGGCTAGTCTCCTGTCTCAGACAAATGAAACAAAAAGAACAGGACTCTGGGAGAGGATGGTGGACGGGGATAGAAGACTCCTCACTCTGCACAAGGAGACAACGTGTTCTCGGTAATGACAGGTCACTGTGCCCTCCTTCAGTCTCCTCAGAGAAGAAAGCTAGAGTCTCTCAGCAGCTCACTGCAGACCCTCACATCAGCCTACAGCTTGGTAGGCTTGGGTGCCGAGCCACACCCGCCATCCACAGCTCCCCAACTTTAGGGTTTCGGGGACAGTTAGTGTATCAGGAGCTCTCTGCTGCCAGCATCATTTAAAAACCCACTTAATACACACATGATACATCCAGACAGGGCCTCACTCTGTAATCCAGGCAGGCTCCAAGCTTGCCATCCTCCTGCCTCAACTTCACAAGCATAGGGGTTACAGTTGTCTAGCCCAGCTGTACCCTGCAATTTAAAACTGTAGCAGCGTTATTCCGTATTGTGCTTCCTGTCAGTATGCCACAGGTTCTTCCCAATCAGAAGTCGCACGCGCACACGCACACACACACACACGCACACGCACACTATACACAGGATAGCCCCCCTCCCCCCCTCCCTCTCTCTCTCTCTCACACACACACACTATACACAGGTCCTCCTCTCTCTCTCTCTCTCTCTCTCTCTCTCTCTCTCTCTCTCTCTCTCTCTCTCTCTCACACACACACACACACACACACACACACACACACTATACACAGGTTAGCCCATGTCTATGTAATTCTACAGCACGTTCTCAGACTCGACAACCACAACTACTCCCAAATCCCAACACACGATACTGTTCTTCACACTGCCCCAGGCCACAGCACCAAACCACACACCCTCCCCCGCAGACGCTGCCTCTGCCATCTCCCGCCTCACCCCCCCACACACACACCCCACCCCTCCCCGGATCTCAGGCTCTCCGCTGCTAAGCCCTCCCTCCTCCCTGCCACCTCCTCGGAACTGCAGGGTGGACCCTACAGCCGCAACCGCCCCCGCCGCAGCCAATCAGCGATTGCCGCACACCCCGGCCTGGGCCAATCCACAGCAGCCTCGCAGTTCCACCCCCTACCTGGGGTGCGGGGCACGCTGCTGCGCCCGCGCCCAACCTGGGGAGTGTCCAGGGCCTGTTCTTTCCCCAGCGCACCCCCGCAGTGTCCTTCAGTCCCAAACCCAGCAATGCAAGCCCCAGCCTCCTCCCTCTGACCCACATGTCTCAACTCCACACCACCTCAGCGCTCAAGATTCTTCCTCCAGCCTCCTCACTATCGCACTGGCAAGGAGCGCAAAACTCCTCTCCCCTAAGGGCCAAGAATAAAGGCAGGCTCCTTCATTAGCCACCAATTACCACTTAATTTATTCTCCCCAGCGGGCCTTTTAATTTAGGTGAAGCAGAACTGCGCTCCCTAGCGACAGAAAGTAGCACCTCACTCCTGCTGCAAGGTCTCCTGGAGTTCTTCAGGGGTCAGGAATACCCACGTGGCCTAAAGGTAGCTGGGAAGGAGACAATGCTAGTGTGGACAGACTTGTGTAAAGAACAGGAAATAAATATGATAGTTCCTTTCTGGATACAAGTTGTTTTCATGAGTGCAGGACCGATGATAAGTGGGTAGAGAGTCTAAGGTGTTGGGGCGGACCCTGGGAGGTAGGTGATGCAGGTTGGAATTTGGGGTGGGGAATGCTAGATGAGGGAGGGGCAACTTATAGGTCAATAGTAGAGCCCTTGCTTAAAACTCCCTAGTGAGGGGTGGGGGTGTGGCTCAGTGGTGGAGCCCCTGCCTAGAATCCCCCAGTGAGGGGCTGGGGTGTGGCTCAGTGGTGGAGCCCCTGTCTAGAATCTCCCAGTGAGGGGCGGGGGTGTGGCTCAGTGGTAGAGCCCCTGCCTAGAATCCCCCAGTGAGGGGCGGGGGTGTGGCTCAGTGGTGGAGCCCCTGTCTAGAATCCCCCAGTGAGGGGCTGGGTTTGTGGTTCATGAATGAAATGATGACGTGACCACAGCAAGGTATGGTTGAGAAGAAGGTTTTATTTTATATTAGAAGGAGAATACAGCCAGAGGCATCTGGAAGAGTCCAGACTGAACTGGGCTAGGGGGGCTGAGGGTGGGGGGAGAAAGAGAGAGGATGAGGGGACCAGGAGTGCACATGTCTGAACTGGCGGGTTTGGATGGGAATCAGAAGCTAAGTACTGGGCTGGAGAGGCTTAGGAGACAAGTGTGAGGAGAGCCGCCGCCAGCCTGTGCTTTGGTATACTAACAGGCACCACAGCCAGCCATTCATCCTGAGTGTCTTCGGGAATGGACAGTTCCTTGGTAAAGCCCTGCTAGAACCCCCCAGTGAGGGGCTGGGGTGTGGCTCAGTGGTAGAGTCCCTGCCTAGAATCCCCCAGTGAGGGGCTGGGGTGTGGCTCAGTGGTCGAGCCCCTGCCTAGAACCCCCCAGTGAGGGGCTGGGGTGTGGCTCAGTGGTAGAGTCCCTGCCTAGAGTCCCCCAGTGAGGGGCTGGGGTGTGGCTCAGTGGTCGAGCCCCTGCCTAGAACCCCCCAGTGAGGGGCTGGGGTATGGCTCAGTGGTGGAGCCCCTGCCTGGCACAAAAGAGGGCCCAGGTTTAATCTCCAGTACCACAGAGAAAGGAAGGAAAAGAGGGATGGGGAGGACATAACACCGTGGAAATCACGGCGGGAGGACGGGGGCTTCCGCGAGGCTGCTCCTGCTGGACTTGCATCCGTACCCCAGTTCTGCACCCCCTGTCACGAGAAGCTCGAGTCCTGTACAGAAGGTGGCTTCAGAGGCCAGGAAGACGGCTGCAGCCCCCACCTCGGCTGCCTGGCCCATGCGGCCCAGGGGCTGGGGAGAGAGAGAAGGCAGCAGAACTAAGAGCAGCCTCCCGCCGGGCATCTCAGCAAGAGAGGCCTTCGACAGGTTTGCCCCGAGTTCAAGGCCAGCCTGGGCTAGAGAGTGAGAAGGCCACACAAGTGCACGAGTGAATACACACACAAGGAACGGTACGTGTCTGTAACTCCAGCACTCGGGAAACAGAGGCAGGAAAATCAGAAGTTCGAGGATGTGCCCAGCTACATATCAAGTCCAAGCTAGACTGGATTATATGAAGCTCTGAGAGACAGACAGACAGACAAAGGAGGAAGAGAGAAGAGGAGAAAGACCTGACCTGATCTGCACACGCACACACACACACACACACACACACACACACACACACACATCCTGGTACCTCCTTCCCTCCCAGCTCTCAACCCCTCCTACCTGGGCCAGGGTCCCTTCTAGGATGGTGGCACTGGGGTCTGGAGTTGACATTGCCAGCTCTTCCCACAGTGGAGTCCAGATGTTTCCTGGGGAGATGCTGGGTAAGGAGAGAAGGAAGGAGAGAAGGGTATGCTAATTCTGTCCGACATCCCCAGCTGCCCCAGCCTCGGCCGCTTTGATCAGCTTACCAGTTGACACGGACCCCATGTCGACTCTCATCCAAGGCCAGAGCTTTCGTCATGGCTGTCACTGCCCCCTGCAGAGGCAGAGACCAGAGAGGATGGAGTCTCTGAAGATGGAGGCCCTCCCATCCTCTTCTTCCAGGCAGGGGGGCAGCAAACTTCCGCCTCGGTGGGATTAGTCTCAGCCATCTTGCAGACATTCCCTGCACATGAGCTCTGTGCAGGCCAATTTGTTACAGGTTGCTCTAACTCAGGACTCAATGAGGGAGGTAGTGTGGGACATTTCTGGGCTTAGGCACCTATGATCCCAGAACTTGGGAGGCTGAGACAGGTGGATTGCCATGAATCTCTAGTACCAACCCAGGCTGCAGGGAGAGACTGGTTCAAATAAAACCAAGAAGGGCCTTGCAACATGGCTCGGTATTAAAGGCACTGGCCGCCAAGTCTGACAACCTGAGTTTGATTCCTGGGACCCACATGGTGGAAGGAGAGAGCTGACTCCTCCAGGTTGTCCTCTGACCTCCATGTGTGCTGTGACATGCACATATGCACAGAGATACGCAGAGACAAAGACACATGTGAAATAAATAAAAACGTAATTTAAAAAATCCCAGCTGGAGAGATGGCTCAGCAGTTAAGAGGATTGGCTGTTCCTGCATGGAACGAGGTCCCATTCCCAGCACCCACATGACGGCCCAGTTCCAGGGGATCAGATTCCCTCTTCTGAACTCCACGTGAACCAGAAAGGCCAGTACAAATACGCACATGCAGATGAAACACTTGCAAAATAAAAGTGTATTGTGTTAGTGACCTCACTGCTGAAGACGCAGCACACTTTGGTCTCGGGACACCGAGAAACCAAGCTAGAAATGGCCTGAAACCTTCCTCCTGGCTGCTAAGTCCCAGAAAACGTTATGCAGGTCACTGGGGGAGAGAGTCATCAGCAGGTTTACCTAGATGCAGGCCTTGTGTGCTGCAGTACTGACCTGCCAAGCAAGAAGATATGCCTGGTGCAGTAGCGGCATTAATGGCATGGGGGTCTAACTGCTTTCCGCTTGGCTATGAAGCCAGTTCTAGAGAGAATTCATGCCTAATATTGTAAACCTGGTCAAAAGTCCATGGCTCAGGAGGTCACAACCTCCAGGGGCAAACCCACCACAGTTCAGCCTCAGTCAAAATGCTCTTTCTTCCTCTTTTGTTGTTAATGTTTGAAACAGGGTCTCACTACAGCCTCTGTAGACCAGGCCGGCCTCGAACTCACAGAGATCTGCCTACCTCTGTGGTGGGATATTTGTACAGGGCGTGAAGGTATGTTGCTGTGATTGGTTTAATAAAGAGCTGAAAGGCCAATGGCTAGGCAGGAGGTATAGGTGGGACTTCCAGGCAGAGAGAGAGGAAGGAGGAGATGAATCTAGGTGCAGCAGAGATGCCAGGAGACATGGGAGAATCGGGATGGGTCACAGAACACAGGTTAATAGAAACGGGTTCATTTAAGTCAGAAGGGCTGGTTAGAAACAAGCCTAAGCTAAGGCCGAGCTTTCATGATTAATAAGGAGTGTCCACGTCATTATTTGGGAGCTGGCTAGAGGGACAGGGAAAGACTTGCCTCTGCCTCCTGAGTGCTGGGATTGAATGTGAGCCCTGCCACGCCCAGTGAGAAGCTCCTGTTGGCCGCGTGCAACAGTTAACGTGAAGACTCACATGCAGAGAATTACTGCTGAGTGCTCAGCCCTAGATGACAGAGACCCACACAGCAACCCCATGCTGTGGCTCAGGGGTCAACATGGAAGAGAAGGCAACGCGAATAAGATCTGGGGGGCAGAGGGCAGTCCGTGAAATGCTGGCTTCTGGTCGTGACACGGCCCTTGCTTTCATGAACTAACTTCAGCTATGGTTCCCCGCAGGAGACTCGCACAAGGTGAAGCAGTTATCATTCCTGGGTGGACGAAGGGAGGGGCTCATGAGGCCACACCCCTTAACGAAGAAGATTGCAACTGATGGCTGCTGGGGATAAGGGGTGTGGTCACTGGTAGGTTGCCCATGCTCTAGTGGGTGCCCTCAGTGGGTTACTTAAAAAACAACAAGAGAGGAGAGAGAGAGAGAGACAGAGACAGAGACAGAGAGAGAGAGAGAGGACACCAGGTGAGAGAGAGACGAGTTAGAGGCACAGTGGTTTGAGGGAGGGGAGGGGAGGGGAGTATGATCAAGATAGATTGTACATCTGTATGAAATTGTTCAAGAAGTACAAATATTATCTTTTAAATATGTACAAGGGCACGGATATGCAGGTGCTCTCGGAGGCCAGAAGAGGTCACCAGAGGCTTGGGGCTGAAGTTACATCTGTGAGCCTTCCAGTGTGGGTGTTTGGAACCAAACTCTGGTCCTCTTAAAGAGCAGCAAGCACTCTTTACTGCTGAGCTATGTCTAGTCCACCCCAAAATATTCTTTAAAAAAAACAAACAGGCCGGGCGGTGGTGGCACACGCCTTTAATCTCAGCACAAGGGAGGCAGAGGCAGGTGGATCCCTGTGAGTTGGAGGCCAGCCAGGGCTACAGAGTGAGTCCCAGGAAAGGCGTCAAAGCTATGCAGAGAAACCCTGTCTCAAAAAACAAAAACAAAACCAAAGAAACAAAAAAATCAGGTCAGGTGTGGTGGCACACACCTTTAATCACATTGCTCAGGACGCAGAGACAGGAGGATCTCTGAGTTTTAGGCTAGCCTGGTCTACAGAGTGAGTTCCAGGCCAACCAGAACTATATAATGAGACTATAGAAATTATAAAATAAAATTAACTGGTGAGATGGTTCAGAGGATAAGGTCGTTTGTTGCTAGGCCTGAGTTCCTGATTCAATCCATGTGGTAGGAGAAAGTTGATTTCTGCGAGTTATTCTCTGAACACATGCACACACACACTTTTAAAACAAGAAGTAAAAAAACCGAAAAAACCCAGAGAGGTTACAGGCTCAAAGCTGAGGCCCAAAGAGCCAGGAAAGAACACTGGGAGGAGAGGGGTGGCCTACCTTGGTGGCCACGTAGGTAACTGCCTGAGACTGGCCGATGGCCCCAACCAGGCTGGAGATGTTGATGATGTTGCCTCTGTATTTCCGCAGGTGGGGGAGGGCAAGCTATGGAGACAAACAGATCAGCCATTTGCACCTGGTCCCTGGAGAGCGGCCAGCAGCACCCTTAGGTATGGGACTGAGACTGTGGCCCATGTTCTCAGGGGGTCTCGGTGGGCAGAGCACAGCAATGGCGTGTCTACGGTATGCCAGAGCACCTCTCGGAAGGACTGGTGTGTCTTTTCTAGTTCTCTCTCCCCTCTGTCCTCTCTCTTCTCTGAGTTTCCATCTGCTGTTCAATGTCCAGCCCTCACCAAGCCAGGAAAACCTAGCACTGTGCAGACAGAATTCTGCCTATTCGGCCCAACTAGGAGACAATCTTTTATCCCATGGAGGGAGGTGGTGTGTCCGGGTTGTACAAAGAACTCTGTGGTCAGAATGTGGTGTGGGAAGCCTTAGGAGAGGGGTCCTGTTCTCGGCCACCTTCTCGGGTGATTCATGGTGTGACCTTGATAAGCTCAGGCTGTTCCTTCCAGAGCCGCGGGCACTGGAGCGGACCAGGCACAGCCGGCTCTTACCAATAAACACGACTGAGCACAAACCAGCACCCCGGGGCCTCCTGGAGCAGGAACCTAAAAGGGTCTGTGGCTCGCCACACCACTCCCAGACGCAGCCTGGACACTGCAACCCAAGAGCCTCCCTCTGGACTGCTCCATCCTGAGAAAGCCACACAGTTCACACAGTGACCCTGTCAGCTTGCCTAGGGATGAGGGGACCCTGGTGACTGTTCTGGGTTGTCACATGCCCTCCAGTCCTGTAGCTGATGTTGCAATATCACTTCTGTAATGGGACCATCCTGAGTAAACGGGCTCCCTCCTGACAACCGGGGCCCCTCCTCTCCTCCCAAATGGGACTGTGACAGAAAGTGTGGCCAGAATAATATTTGTGGGAGCAAAACCCTTCCCATGCCCCCAATCCTTTTTGTTGTTTATTTGAGACAGGCTCTCCCTATGTATTCCAGGCTGGCCTCGAACTCACAGAGGTCTGACTGCCTCTGCCTCCTGAGTGTGGGAGACTGGGTTTGCCAGCATGGCCCTTACACCTCTCTCTGCACCCAAAACACCAGCAAATATTCTTCCTGACCCTTCACAGGCCCTTCCCCATGGAATCACCACCAGCTCCCTCCCTTTCCTTCCTGGCTTGTTTTTTGGGACACAATCTCACTGTGTAGCCAAGACTGGCCTTGAACTTCTGATCCTCCTGCCTCCACCTCCTAGGTGCTGAGATCATAGTTTCCACCACCACGCTGGAGCTCCGTGGTTGCTGGGCAAACACTCTACCATCTGAGCCTGGCCCCACCTCCCGGGTTCTCAGCATCTTTTGCCACCTCAGAGCAGGCCTGGAAGGCTCTGGAAGATTCCAAGGAGGCTGTAGCTGCAGGTGGATGCAGATCTGTGCCTATTAGTTTCCTACATAGATCCTTCTAGAGCAGTGGTTCTCAACCTTCCTAATCCTGCGACCCTTTACAGTTCCTCATGGTGTGGTGACCCCCAACCATGAAATTATTTTGTTTCTACTCCATAGCTGTAATTCTGCTACTGTTATGGGTTTTTTTTTTGGGGGGGGGGCGGGCATGAGACAGGGTTTCTGTGTAGATTTGGAGCCTGTCCTGGAACTCGCTCTGTAGCCCAGGCTGGCCTCGAACTCAGAGACCCGCCTGCCTCTGCCTCCACACCCAGCCTGTGAATCTTAATGTAGATATCTGTGTTTTGTGATGATATCAGGCGGCCCCTGTGAAAGGGTCATCCGACCCCCAGAGGGGTCGCTACCCACAGGTTGAGAACCGCCGCTCTAGACCTGGACAGGAAGAGAAGGGGCACAAAACCACGCACTCCCGATAAGATGAAGGTCGCACGCCAACCGCAGCCGACTGTGCCTGTCTCACCTTGGTCAAGGCGTACGTCCCCAGTAGGTTCAGTTCCAGCAGCTGGCGAAAGTCCTGGGCAGAGGTCTCCTCAGGCCACTGCGCGGGTGGATCTAAAGGGAGGGAGAGGGTGGGGCCGGGCTGAAGGGAAGAGGGAGACAGGGGAGATGTGATGGACCAGAGGGGAGGCAAAGGGCTAGGGAGCAAGCCAAGGAAGGAGGCTGCGCATGGTGAGTGTGATGGACGGCAGTCTCTGCAGAGGAGGCATGCGCCCACCCCACCCCCCATCCCCACCCCCGCCCGACCGCCATTCCAGCACTGAAGTCTCTGAGCCAAGCCCAGCTCATGTCTGTTCTCCTCACTGTGGAATGTGAATTTCCCCCGCACTCCCCACAAGGAAATGTGTTTCTGTGGCTGTGTTGAACACACCTCAGCCTAAGAAAAGAAGGCCACAGATAACAATGCGCTCTCTGCAGCTCTGTGGATCTTTACCACGACCTGAAGACAGGCAGCTAAGACAGGAGCCCCCTGGCAGGGGCAGTCCTCTGCACCTCCCTTTCTGGAGGGGACGCCTGGCTGCTCTCTGAGCCTTAGTTTCCATGGGACACATTGTCTTACAGTGCCACACCACCTAGTGTCTGACAAAGTGTGCCGGGGTGTCCTTGTCACCAGCATGGGCCTGGGCCTCCAGCACAGCAGGAGATCCACAGGCTCTGGGAATAACCTAAGGGACACTGTCTCCTTTAGAGACTACAGCACCCCGACAGAAAAGGTGACAATTCTTATTTCAAAGATGGAAACTGAGGCTCGGAGATGGGGAGAGCAGACCCGAGGACGTGGCAGAGAAAGAGGACAGAAGCTCAGGCTGGAGTTATGTATGAAGATGGGGAAGGCTGGCTGCCTGGCTTAGTGGTTATGAGCACTGGCAGCTTTTCTAGAGGACCCAGGTTCAAGTCCCAGAACCCACAGGAGCTCAGAACTGTCTGTGACTCCAGTTCCAGGGGATCCAGCTGCTTCTTCTGACCTCTGTAGGCACCAGACATGCAAGTGAGCAGACATACATACAGTAGAAATACGCACGCACGCACGCACGCACGCACACAGGCACACACACGCTGGAGAGCTGTGGCCTGGGGGAGGGGTAAACTATAGTTCAGAAGGATTAGGGCTGCGGAGATGGCTCAGACGTAAAGGCACTTGCTGCCACTCCTGACAACGTGAGCGCAGCCCTACACGGTGGAAGGAGAGAGGAAATCACCACACAAGCACTGTACACGAGTGCGTGCTGCTTACTTGTGGAGCACCCACATACACACACACACATGCAAATAAATGCAATAATTTTTTAAACTTTTTTTTTTCTGAGATAGGGTTTCTCTGTGTAGCTTTGGAGCCTGTCCTGGAACTCACTCTGTAGACCAGGCTGGCCTTGAACTCACAGAGATCCTCCTGGCTCTGCCTCCCAAGTGCTGGGATCAAAGGCATGTGCCACCACCGCCCAGTCAAATGTAATCATTTTTAAGGGGAAGAAATGGGGCTGGAGAGATGGCTCAGTGGTTAAGGGCACTGACTGCTCTTCCAGAAGACCTGGGTTCAATTCCCGGCACCCACATGACAGCTCACAACTGTCTGCAACTCCAAGATCTGATGCTCTCACACAGACAGACATGCAAGCAAAACACCATTGCACGTGAAATAAAAATAAATAAATTTAGAAAGGGGGGAGGAAGAAATGGGAGAATAGGATATCAGTAGACATCAGAGGACACTGGCCCCCAAGCCACACAACTTACGGTAGCCGGCATTATTCACCACACAATCCAAGCGGCCAAATCGAGAGAGGGTCTCAGAAATCAGAGTCTGAGGAGACAACAAACGTCAGGAGGAGAGCAGTGAGGTGACAGCCTCGGACAAACTCAGCTGAGGAAGACAAGGCAGAGTGAGGGGATCAGGGTCACAGAACAGGTCAAGAGGAGAGGAAGCAGGAATCTCGGGGACACAGTTACCATTTGCCATAGTCAGGGTTTCCATTGCTGTGACAAAACACCATGACCACCTGTCCGGTGATGTCACAACCCCAGGGAGCTGCTGGGCCCTCCCACATCAACTACTAATTAAGAAAATGCACCACAGGCTCCTCCCACACGCCAGTGTGGTGTGGCCATCTTTGCTAATAAGGTTCCCTCTTCCCTAATGACTCTAGCTGGGGTCAAGTGGATAAAAGAGTAACCAAGCCGCCACTGTGGAAGACTGTGAGGGCAGAAGACTCAGTCTACAGACCCAGAGGAGGGTGGGGTGCAGACAGGCAGAGAGAGCGGAGGCCCAGACTGGGGCCAGACCTGAGGGCACTGAACAGATTCTGCGGCAGGGGAGTCAGAAATTGTTACAGGAAACGTGGGTTTCAAGCTCTGCTCGTTCCTAAAGACCTAAGAGAGAAGGAGCAGAAGGACCCACGTGTGCTGAGCTGACAGAGGCCATGGAGAGGGGTGCTGGGTGCTGGAGATGGGGGATGGGGCAGGGAACACTCACCTGCAAATCTCCTTCCTGAGTCACGTCACAGGGGACGAAGACAGTGCCCACGAGTTCCTGCTCCAGAGCCCGGCCCCTGGCCTCTGCAAGAGGAAGACTCTGGGTCTGAGGGAGGAGAGTGGAGGCTTGGACGCCCTTCTGAGGGTAGAGGTCTGGGGAGGAGCGTGGACTCCCGAGTCTGGGGCAGGAGACTTGGGTCTAGGCATGTGGGTCTGAGGGAGGAGGGCTAGGCTCGGGTCCCTGCGTCGGTGGAGGAAAGGCAGAGTTGAGGGCTTACTCACTCACCATCCTTGTCGCAGAAAACCACTTGAGCCCCACTGTCCACTGCCAAGAGAGAGAAAGAAACGTTACAGGCTGCAGACTTGCCTCGCTGCCCCTGCTGCCCTCTTGTGGCCACACAGAGCACCTGGCTCTCGTGGCCTGTCTCATGACAGTCCGCTCAAAGGGCAGAGTCTTCGCGACAAATTCCCCTTCTTCATCCAGCTGCTGCTCGGCCGCCATCCTGGATTCTAGAAAAATCCCAAACCTACAAGAAATATATTCCTCAAAGCTATCGTTTGTAGCTAGGACCCATCAGGGGAAGAACTCCTTTTGGTTTTTCGAGACAGGGTTTCTCGAAAACCTGTAACCCTGGCTGTCCTAGAACTCAAAGATCCGCCTGCCTCTGCCTCCCTAGTGCTGGGATTAAAGGCGTGAGCCACCACCAGGAGAGGGGAAGAACTCTTGATGAGAGCCGTATCGTGCTTACCAACAGTCCAAACTGACTCGTGTAAGCATGAAACGGGGCTGGAGAGATGGCTCAGTGGTTAAGAGCACTGGCTGCTCTTCCCGAGAACTCAGGTTCAATTCCCAGCACCCATGTGGCAGCTCACAACTGTCTGTAACTCCAGTTCCAGGGAACCCGACACCCTCATACAAACACAAACATAATGCACAGAAAAAATAACAAATCACTTAAGAATAAGTAAAAAAATAGATCACTAAAAAAACAAAAAAAGAAACTGAGTCTCTTTCTCCCACTCTGTGAACCTGTCAACCATCCTTTCCAAAAATTCAGACACCAAGCCAGAGGACCCTTACTCACCAAAGGCTCTCACGATCCCAGCTCCGATGCCACGACCACCCCCAGTCACCACCACCACTTTCCCGGAGTATCGGGTTACAGCAGCCATCCGGGTTGACTTGTCTTGTCTCCTACACCCTCGCAGCCTCTCTCCACCTCCAAAGTCCAGAGGAGCAGTGAGATGGAACAGATATGCCGGCTGGGTCCTTGAAGGCTGGCCCTGGGAGGGGGTGTTCCCAGGAAGGCCACGCACCTGCGAGAATTGAGAGGACTCTCCAGCGTCACACCTGGAGATGATGGGGTCTTAGCCCTTCTCTTTTGGACCCAGGGGTCCCCACTCTGACAATCCTCCTTCAGACTTGGGGTCCAGACCCCAGCCCTCCCAGCTCAGATGACTCCAGTCCTGCTCCCTCAGACCCATAAGAAAACCAGTCTCCAGCCTCCTCCCTTAGACACGAGGTTTCAGCCTTCTCCCTCAGATCCAATCTTAGTATCTGGCTCCCAACTTCCTCATTCTGTTACTCCCAAACGCTGAGAATAAGACCACTACCACAACTTGAGCCAAATTTGAAGCAAGCTTTATTTCTACTGGGGTGCACCTAAGAGCTGGCCAGAGACTGTCTCCTCTAAGTCGGGCTACAGAGCGCAGCAGCAAATCCACCTCTCGGCCCTTTTAAGAGTAAAGTCAGGAGTAGTTTTACTGGAGGGAGACAACGGGCAATAAAATACAGAAACCCTAAAGAAACATCATGTGGTCACCCACCATGTGATCAGGGAGGGTCAGGGAGGGTCAGGGTATTCTCAAAAACAAATCAAGGTCATGTTTCTAGGAAACAGAGAACAACTCAGCTCTATCAGTAGATAGAAACTTAAGTTTAATAATACAGCACAATGGCTCCTGCCTTCAAAATGGAGTCAGGCAGTTTTCTCATTCCCCCTTGACTTACGTTTCCTGGTCAAATCATTGTAGGGGATGTCTTAATAATGTTGTGGAGCAGGAATGAGTCTAGAATTGTTAATCTGATGGGTGATCAAGTCAGTGACTCATTGGAGGGCACAGGCCCGATTGGGATAATTAGTACAGATAATATTAGATAATATAGAAGGCCAATGAAGGGGGAGAACCATTTTAGCCATATTGGCCAGTCTAAATTTGTTTGAGAGTTTTTGTCTAGTTTTTTTTTTTACATAGATTTTCAATTTGGTTGCCAATGGTATGAGAGAAATCAGAGATATTAAAATAGCACATTCCAGGAAATTGCTGATGACCAAGTGTTGTGCCCAGATCGTGACCCCCAGAGAGACCACCAAA